GGGGGTTTAACACCGCGGATGTCAACTGGTTAAGGATGGAAACATAGAAGAGACAGAAATAGCAAACGTAATGTGTGGTTATGATGCATGTCATTTTTTTCAGGTTTAAATTAAAAACAAATCTTGGTAGGTAAGATGCAAATCTTGATTTGAATTGTTGAAGATGTACAATAAATTGATGAAAGACAGCCAACTCTAACTGCAATCTTCATGTGGGCAAACTTCTCCGTAGGATGTTGTCATGGCAACCTTCTGTCATTTCCCTTACTGAGCAGCAGTTCACTTAAGTCCATTATGAAATTCACTGAAATGACCATACTATCGTACATAATTATTTCAATGTGTTAACGCTCTATAGGTTTGGACAATTACTTTTTAAATAGCAAAATATGACAGTTTATTCTACACATGGGTCACATGCAAATAGCAACAGACGTAGCTGAATAGTCACTAAGATATTCCTAAAATTCTAAAATAAATACTGCATGCATAAAAATTAAATGTAACAAGAATAGCAAAAAAAATGCACAACCCAAATGATGGAAGATTTATTAATCAATCTTCTTCCAGGTATGAATTTAAAGCAAATTGATAGATACATGTGCACAGTATAGGGAAGATGTATGAAAGCAATTAATGGCGTGCAGATTGGCTACAAAAAAATACACTCTAGCACTGTATCCTATCATGTTTCATGTATGGTAGTGTTCCTTGGCAAATTTGAAACATCAGTCAGCATTTTCCACATGTGTCAATGCTGCAGTGTCACAAGGCCCTGCCTCTTTTTTTAATTGTAATTTTTATTTGATTGTACACAATCAATAAATGTAAAATTAAAATATCATGCATAAATGCTTATACATTATACCATGTGTACAATTTTCCATTTCTGTTCATATCCATAGATAAAACGGAACTAAAAAAGCACAAGAGATGCATACGTATCAATAACTGGTATGGTATCGCTATTAGTTCCTCTATAGCCAATGCTTATTTTGTTGCCACGGAGAGATGAGAGGGGGATGAATTATAGCATGACGCAAACAAAAACAAATGTGCTAATCCGATGTTCCTGACTAACATGGTGGTCCCCTAATGGGTTCCCCAACACAAACACGTTGCTCTTTTACATTTTTAGTGTTATATCAGCAGCCAGCCTTTTTACCCAGCAGCAGGCTATGACAACAGATAGTTAGAGAGAGACCGGAGCATCTGTCACCTCACACATAAAAAGACCTGTGGACAGGTGTGACTAGGAATGGAATCTTTATCCTCAAAGCTCTACAAAGCCTCCAGGCTGCAAGAACCCAGAATAGAACATAACAAAAAGTTTGTTTCCTCTATACCATTCGCCACAATCTTATACATTGAGGCATGGACACCACTAGACCTCTGAAGGTATGCTGTGGTATCTGGCACCAAGCCGTCAAAAGCAGATCCTTTAAGCCCTGTAAATTGTGAGGTGGGGCCTCCACGGATTGAACTTGTTTTTCCAGCACATCCCACAGATGCTCGATTGGATTGAGATCTGGGGATTTTGGAGGCCAAGTCAACACCTCAAACTCGTTGTTGTGTTCCTCAAACCATTCTTGAACCATTTTTGTAGTGTGGAAGGGCATTATCCTGCTGAAAGAGGCCACTGCCATCAGGGAATACCATTTCCATAAAGGGGTTTACTTGGTCAGCAAAAATGTTTAGGTAGGTGGTACATGTCAAAGTAACATCCATGAATGGTCAGACACAAGGTTTCCAAGCAGAACATTGCCCAAAGCATCACACTGCCTCTGCCGGTTTTTTACCATAATCCATCTTGGTGCTATCTCTTCCCCAGGTAAGCAACACGCATGCACCCATCCATCCATGTGAAAATGTGATTCATTAGAGTAGGCCACTTTCTTCCATTGCTCTGTGGTCCAGTTCTGATGCTCATGTGCTCATTGTAGGTGCTTTTGGCGGTGGACACACGTCAGCATGGGCACCCCGACAGGTCTGCAGCTACACAGCCCCATACGCAACAAACTGTGATGCACTGTGTGTTCAGACACCCATCTATCGAAACCAGCACAAAGCTTTTCAGCAATGTGAGGCACAGTAGCTGTTCTATTGCATCAGACTACATGGACCAGCATTCTCTCCCCACGTGCATCAATGAGCCTTGCCCGCCCATGACCCTATCGCTGTTTCACCGGTTTTCCTTCCTTGCACCACATTTGGTAGATCCTGGCCACTGCAGACCAGAAACAGAGCTGCAGTTTTTGGAGTTGCTCTGACCCAGTCCTCTAGCCATCACAATTTGGCCCTTGTCAAAGTCGCTCAAATCCTTTTTTCTGGGGCGTGGTTTGGACATGGCCGCGTGAGGAAGCAACCCAGGGGAGCTCTGCACTCACTGAGCAGGATTGACGATACAATAGACTGTACATACCGCTGTTCTACATGCCCAAGGAGCAGAAACCTCATAGTGACTCTCGCACCACTTTCCTTCATCACTTCTTCACCCGCCGATCCGTTACACCGACGCCGGCACCCGCCCCTACTACTGCTATGGCGCTCACGCGGGCCTCCGCGGCAGGCCTCCTGTCGGCTAAGAAGCAGGGACGCGGCCCTATGACGCAGGCACTTGACCCAGAGGATGCTCGTGGCTCCGGCAACCCTCGATCCCCAATTCAGTCGCCTGACATGCAGCTGGCAGATTCCCAGGACTCCCTCCCGTCTCAGCCCTGTGTGTCCTCACTCCAACATGAGGTAGGTCCTGGTACTCAGGATTGGACTTGCCTCCACACCCTTGAGATAGCCCACCCCCCCATCTGTGGGGGGAGGGGCTGGTTTCCGGCGCTCCCCAGGCGCGTTCCGGATACCCATGCTGACCAGAATGGAATGTTGTTCCCGACACAGGATTGCTCCTTGGGCCGTGTTTTGTTTTCTGTTGCTGTTTATGCTCATGTTTATGATCCTGTTCCTGCTCTTGTTTAAGCCAATTAACAGTATTTTAACTGTTATTAAAAGGGCTGTTAAGTTGTCTGCCAATTTTTTACCAGTGGCAGAGGTTGTTTACAGTACTCAGGATAGTTTTATGTAAATATTAATTTAAGTTGTTCATCTGACTGGCTGCCTCGTTATCACATTTAATATTAGTTCATGGTTCATTCTACTATGCAGAATAAATCATTTAGGAATTAATACATACATGACCAACATTTATCCCTCCTTTTTATAATTTCTAATAATGAGATTGGGAACAGGCATATCGGAAATTGTTCTAGCAATAGCTTTTTTCTTCACCCATGATGCAACAAGACAATGTTAAGATTACTTAAAGAAAGCTCTAATTGTGCATATATATATATTTTATATATAGCATACATAGTTGCTACACAAGTAATTTCGTAATGTAATGTTCTTAAAACGTACCTTTGCATTTTAATCTAACGCCACGGTGAGAACTGTCAAAGAATTTCAAATGTAGCTTTCTTGCAATATAGCAACATGGGGTGTCCTGTGCAGTGGCGTAACCAGAGCTTCAGTCTTCAGACTTTAGGCAATGCAGGATGGCAGACTTGGGGTCTTCAGACTTTAAGCAATGCAGGATGGCACCAGCCATAGAGGACTACAAATTCCAGCAATACATTATACAGCAAGGCAGAATACCATCAGCTATAGAGGACATGAATCCGAGCAATACATGATACAGAAATGCAGACGAATACCATCCCATTCATCCCCCTATAGGCAGCAGACCTTCCTACAAGCAGCAGACCTTCCTACAAGCATCACATCCTCCCCCACAGGCAGCACATCCTCCCCTACAGGCAGCACATCCTCCCCTACAGGCAGCAGATCCCCCCAACAGGCAAACGATCCCCCTACATGCAGTAGATCCCACCTACATGCAGCAAATCCCTCTACAGGCATCAAATCCCTCCATACATGCACATATGTCAAAAAGAAGGCCGAATTCAGCCTTCCAGCCATTTCATGTGGCTCTCGCACCTCTCCCTATTAAAAATGGAGTAGGCACTGTAAACAAGTGCCGGGGTTCATAGGAATGCTGCCAAGGTCCCCAGCAAGGTTCCGGCAGCTTTCCTGAGTACAGTCCTTGCCGAATATGTCCTCCTCCTTATGTGGATCCACACCACCCTTACCCGCAGACTGACCTTACGGGACCCCTGGTAAGACTGCACAGTCCTACTAAGACCCCACACAGCCCAGCATAGACTCCGCGCAGCCTAGCATAGACTCCGTACAGCCTAGCATAGACTCCGTACAGCCCAGCATAGACCCCACACAGCCCACCATAGAACCTGCGCAGCCCACCTAAGCATCCGCACAGCCCACCATAGAACCTGCAGAGCCAACCTGAGAGTCCACACAGCCCACCATAGAACCTGCGGAGCCAACCTGAGAGTCCACACAGCCCACCATAGAACCTGCGGAGCCAACCTGAGAGTCCACACAGCCCATCATAGAACCTGCGGAGCCAACCTGAGAGTCTGTACAGCCCACCATAGAACCTGCAGAGCCAACCTGAGAGTCCGTAAAGCTCACCATAGAACCTGCACAGCCACCTGAGAGTCCGCACAGCCCACCATAGAAACTGTGGAGCCAACCTGAGAGTCCACACAGCTCACCATAGAACCTGCACAGCCACCTGAGAGGCCACACAGCCCACCACAGAACCTGCAGAGCCAACCTGAGAATCCACACAGCCCACCATAGAACCTGCGCAGCCACCTGAGAGTCTGCACAGCCCATCACAGAACCTGCACAGCACACCTAAGAGTCCGCACAGCCCACCGTAGACCCCGCATAGCCCACCATAGAACCTGCACAGCCACCCGAGAGTCAGTAAAGCCCACCATAGACCCTAGCCCTTTGAAAGAAACCATAATGCTGATGTGGCAACAGATCCCCCCTACAGGCAAAAGGTCCCCCCTAGAGACAACATATCCCCTGATATGCATTAGATTCCCCCCCCGACATTCAGCAGACAAAGATCCCCCCCGACATGCAGCTGACAGAGCCCGCCC